ACAGTAAATAAAGAAGTAAAGCAAACAATTATCTCTTCTAGTTATAACCTTTGTACTCGGTTGCTGCTTGACATAGGTTGCCAAGACTTTTAAAATTTTGCACACTGAGGATACAAACAAAGTTTTTTTGTTAGGTTTTATATATACAGTTGAATAACCAAAAAATCATATATTACTATATCAATACCATACAATTCCACTATAATTTATGAAGCTTAGTAACATAGCTGTATTTCAGTCTAAAAAAACATGAAATTTTGAGCTGACTGAAAACACACCCTACCTTGTTGAAATATTTGTTCAAAAGAAAGAAATGGTGCCAAGTTAAAACGTCTGAGAAAGCAACTAGGGGACATTCTGTGCTTCCGGTTGGGGGGAGGGGGTGCCACTGTGTTTGATTTATTACTTGAGCAATATCTTAGCAAATTGAAAAGATAAGAGGCTCTTATTTTATATTCTAGTTTGTAAATATCGGTAACTTGAGTTTGTAATTCGTTCGAAACTATAGACTTAGTATTTTGAATTCACAATCATCTAATTTGAACCAGTGCTGCATTCAACATATCACATGACACACAAAAATCGTTGTTTATCCATGTTTTTTTTAATATTTGCTTTTAAACTAAGAAATTGAGTAATATATAGTACTAAAATTTGAATTATAATCTACAGTTTAATACCAAACTTACTGACATAAATTTATGAAATAGTAGTTCAATAAAATTTTGAATGTGAGTCAACAAAGAAGATGACATGGCCTTTCACCCATGACCCATCTCAAAAGGGTTAATTGCCATAGGTATTATAAAAATAATCTTAAAATAAGTTTTCTAAAATATTAAAAATGCACAATACTTCAACCCCAAGTTAAGCTCTCATATAAAATTCAGGTTCAACTTCTTTCTGCTACCATACACTCATGTTACAATGTGTATTTTCTTTTTCTCTCTCTCTCTCTCTCTCTCTCTCTAAGAATTTAATTTTTTCATGCTTAATCACAAACTTATGGAAAACTTTAGAAGCTAATGTGTTCAAAGCATCTTCAAAACATACCACTCCTCCAACACAAGATATTTCGAAAAAGTGTAGTTTTATATACTTTATTTTCAAAACACAAGCTCTATTTCATTTAAGCAATTACCTGTAGGGTATAGTAAAGTCCATTGTGACCAACTTCATCATGCCAGGCTGTAATCTGCTCTAGTGCTACAGAAACATACGCTCGTAAACACTCCCCTCCATTCTGCAAGGCAAAAAATCAAATATATGGAACAAAAATAAATATTTTAAAACTTACTTGAAAATATTAAAGCTTAGTACAATAAATCCTCACTAACAGATAAGTGTAAATGTTTAATTTTACAGTGTTTGATTATTTAACAACACAGTATGGCAGTTCTCTTACAACAATATTTTGTTTCATAGACAAGTGAATAAGAATTCAATAAATGTGTATATACCTAAGTACAAGATAACGGAATTATAAAAAAGACCTTATATGGAACTCTCTTTTTTTTTAAATTACACAATGACTTCTGGAAAAGAATAAAACAAACATTAAAAAAAAAAAAACATCAATATAAAATGCAACTATAACTTGCAAACATCAAATTACTTAGTCAAGTAGTTTGCCTTCTCTACAAAACAAAGGGGAAACAAAGTTGGCAATTAAATGGAATTACAATTCTGAATATTAACATTTTCTTATTTAAATATCAAATTAATAGTCTTTCATTGATTGTCATGGTTTTTACATTGCCAAAGAAAAAAAAACACAACTTTTCTAACTCACCAGTAAATAGTATTATTGTTATTTGGTTTTTAGCATACATTTGTACAATGAAAGTTATCCATTAGATTACTGCTGTTTAAAGTTTTGTGAATATGTTAATCAATAAGCAATTTGTTAGACGAAATGTTTCCATGGATGTGTTGCAAGACCGTATATAAATTGGTTTTAGTGGTTGATTTTTTGTCAATTGATGTTATAAGTAAGAATTACTGTTCTATTCTTACTGACTAACAAGAAATTAGGAATGCTTCTTTCACTTTTATATTATTTCCTGATTGGCTTGTAAGCAAAATGTGACAGCTAAGGAGGAAAGTGATTCAGCATATTGTATTAATTGTTTAAATGTAGTTTTAACAATGAAAAACATCTTGAAATATAGTGCTAGCTCTTCCAGGAGTAAACGCAAGCAATCTGCCAGGTTACAAATGAAGCCAGAACTCTGTATCATTCCATATTCAATATTTGTTGTTTAACAGCTTTCATAAATGATTTAAAACCCTTTTTAAATTGCTTTAAAGTCAGAAGTAATTTACCTTTTGTTTAAAGGTCCAGCAACTCTAAAAATTATCAGAATTCAATAATTAGCAATTGTCTTTTAACTCTTTTCCAAACCACAGATATTTCACTGATATCCCAATTATTTTACTTCTCACCAAATTACAAGAAGCTTTGCACAAACTTACTAAAATAGTATAGATTTGGAGTAAACAAAAATTCATATAAAATTATCTAGCATTTTCATCAATCTATAGCTTATGAAATTCCCAGTTTTGTTAAGAAAGTGTTTTGAAAAAACATTCAAAATACTTCATCTTACAATTTAACTTTTATCATTGTGGACTTTAGTTTCACCTATTCAAGACTCATTCATCAGCACAGCTTGTGTTGGTGTGTATATCATATTTATATTCATTAACGTATTTCTTTTCATTCTTTTTTCCTTTTGCATACTTCAGCAGTTATTAGTTCCAGCAATGAATCTTAAATACCACAGCATAAACTGACAAAGCTTTATCATTAGCCGAGGACTTGAACTTTCAAAACGGCATCACCATTACCTTTATTTGGCAAGGTACTGTGATTTTTTTGTTCCCAACATTCTTGATCGAGATAAATTTATATCTAATAAATAATTTTTTTAATAATAATAATAATAAGTTATTTGTATGCAATGCTTCAATTCAAGAAACACATGTATAATGTTCATTAATACGAGCCACTGACATGTTTTGCCATCACCTACTGTATTAACCTACCTTTTCAAGTTATAGAAGAATATTTCTGTAGCTTTCAAACAGACATATATAACAAAAAAAAACAATTTTCAGGAATGAAAAAAAAAAAACACACATTTTCAGGAATGAAAAAAAAAACACTTAAAGAAACTAAAAACAATTCCAAGATCTGTGGTTTGTTCCTAAGTCTTCTACACTTCCAATTTCCTTTGTTCATCCTTTCAGAAGCTCCCGGTAATCACTTTCTCAAGAATCCATAAATTATGCTCAAACAGTTTCTTTACTTTACATTTATGTAAATAATTTATAATCTGCTCAATTCAATTGTATTTAAGATATTAAGATGCAAAAATTATGAATCTCTGTGATTTAAAGTTAAAGATTTAATTACCAGAACTTGTTAGCAAGAAGTTACCTAATCATGCTAAAAGGCAAGTAAAATCTACTTACTCTAATGTTCTTTACAAAACATGGGTTACTAAAATCATCTGATGATAAGCAAGCACTTTATCAAAAGATATTTATAAGGTGAGTATGACTGCTTGGCAATAAGGAAAGTGAACTTGTAAAAGTACTACACCCTTAATGGTAAAAAAGTGGATTTGTGTTTGGAAAATATTTCAAAAAGATGGAATGATTTGCTAAGTTGCTAGGATTTTCTCTGTCTTACACAATCCAGAGAACACCTCTATTGAAAGCTAGTTTTGTGAAACTATTCATCCACT